AGGAACGAAAATGCAAACTGAAACTCATATGATGAACAACAAAAAGCAGGAAACCAAACAATACACAAAACGAAACCATTTGAACCAATACAATAATAAACACTCATGGGAATAGCCACAGTTTAAACCAAACATTTGAACTTCCTAACTTGAAATATGCCACGATACAAAGAATGAGAAAAATCAGAATAAACCAAACGTTTAATTTTACCTGGAACGAGAATTGAACAGAAGATGAACGAAAGCTAACAACAACACAAACATAGGTCAGAATCCTACCATATTAAAAGGGATTGGGTTCGAATGACAACCTCGACGCACTGCAACTCGACGAGGCTGGATGCAACAGGAGCAGCAGAAGCAGCTTGGCCACGAAGACGAACAGTTCTCCTTGCAGCAATAAGACCGACCTTTTGGCCAGGTGGTGCGTCGCGACGGACAGTACTAGCATGACAAATATGTTTATGGTTACCACCACCATGAGGATGCTCCACAGGATTCATAGCAACACCACGAACCTTGGGCTAGCAGTTCCTCTTTACCCGGTACTTGTGGTATGCATTATCGGCCTTAAGCATTGGCTTCTCAGTACGTCCTCCTCCAGCTACTTGACCAATCATGGCACGACACCCAATGGGAACAATCTTCTTGGATCCTGATGGCAGCTTAATCCTAGTGGTTCCGTTATCGGGGTTGTGACTGATGACAGTGAGGTGAAGCAGAAGCAGTCGAGGCAGCTGAAGGTAGTAGCAACGAGCTGGGATGGTTTTTGGCGGAGATGCTAGTCGTGTGGAGGAGATGAAGCAGCAGCAAGCTAGCCATGGCGACGGGTTGACGACCAAGACGCAGCAGCAACAATAGAAACGAGCTCAATGGAGGAAAAAAATGGCAGTGGCTTAGAGTTGTTCGTGGTTGACGAAGCAGAAGCAGTAGCGACGAAGAAGACACTGGTCGTCGAGAAAGAAAGTCGCCATGGGAGCTCGAGCTTGGAGACGAAGAAGACGAAGCAATGGCAGCGGGGTCGTTTGGTGTGGCTAGTTGGCTATGAAGGTTCGACGACAAGTGAAGGGTGGTCGATGGAGGGGTTGTGCGTGTGTGTGAAGGTGATGGAGGTGTGAGGGGGAAAGGGCAGCATCCATGGCTGCTTGGGGTTTTTGGGGTGTTTGGGATGGTGAAGGAGAAGAGAGAAAGAGAGGGGGCGGATGGGATTTTAGGGTTTTGGTTTTTTGTTTTGTTTTTGTTTTGTTTTTGGGAAAAAATGAAAAATGAAGAGGGGTTATGGGGCGGACCGGGTTGACCCATGTTGAGATGGACCGGGTCATGGGGAAGGTTGGGTATTTTTTGGGCCTGTGGTTTGAAATTGAAGAAGAGGCCCAATTTCGATTTTCTTTATATTTTGCTCTCTTTTCTTCTTTTATTTTTCTAAAACTAAATTCTAAAAATCCTTAAATTATCATATAGAACTAAATTAATTTATAAAAGTGCAAATTAACTCCCAATAACAATTAACACACAATTAAGTAATAATTAAGCATAAAATTGTACAATTGGACATTAAATGCTAAAAATGCAAACGATGCATATCTTTGTAATTTTCATTCTTGTAAAACAAACCTAATTATTCCTAATTGTAGAATTAAATCCTAAATGCAAATGCGACATATTTTTGTATTTTTTATTAATTTAACAAATAAACATGCACAGACAAATACCAATAATTATCCAAAAGGTCACAAAAATTCTCAAAATTGCACACCAAGGAAAACCGTTTTATTTTGAATTTTTGGGAGTAATTCTTTCATAGGGCAAAAATCACGTGCTAACAGAAGATGATTCTTTTGATGAGTGTTTGAAAAATCTTGATAAAATGTTGGCCCGTTGTGAAAAGACAAATCTAGTGCTTAACTGGGAGAAATTTCATTTTATGGTTCAGGAAGGCATTGCCCTTGGCCATAAGATCTCAAAAAATGGTCTAGAAGTGGACAAGGTGAATATTGATGTGATTGCAAGACTCCCTCCTCCCACCTCTATCAATGGAGTTAGGAGTTTTCTTAGGTATGCGGGGTTCTACCGAAGATTCATAAAGGACTTTTCTAAGGTAGCGAATCCCTTGTGTAAATTATTGGAAAGGGTTGCAAAGTTTGTATGTAATGATGAATGCATGAAAGCTTTTGAACTTCTCAAGTATAAATTGACAACCACTCCCATTATTACTGCACCCAATTGGAGCTTACTTTTTGAGCTCATGTGTGATACAAGTGATGTTGCGGTAGGAGCGGTCTTGGGTCAAAGAGTAAACAAGATGTTTCACCCGATGTATTATGCAAGCAAGACAATTAATGATACTAAGGTAAATTACACTGTGACGGAAAAAGAGTTGCTAGCAATTGTGTTTGACATGGAGAAGTTTAGGCCTTATCTCATGGGTGCCAAGGTGATAGTTCATACTGACCATGCAGCACTCCGCTACTTAATGACAAAGAAGGATTCAAAGGATAGGTTAAAAGAAATGGTTCTTTTGCTTCAAGAGTTTGACCTAGATATTGTTGATCGAAAAGGATATGAAAACCAAGTGGCGGACCACTTGTCCCGCTTGGAGGAGGAGGGGAGGCCCCGTGATGGCCTCGAAATTAATGATTCATTCCTTGATGAGCAACTCCTCTCCGTATATGTGAATAGTATGCCTTGATTCGCGGATGTTGCCAACTTTCTTGTGAACGGCATTGTTTCGTATGAGCTCTCTTCTAACCAAAGGAAGAAGCTTAAACGGGATAGTTTGGACTACTACTCGGATGAGCCTTATTTGTTCAAAATTTGTAATAATGGGGTGATACGTAGATGTGTTCCGAAAGAGGAGAAACTAAACATTCTGGATGCTTGTCATTCCTCTCCCTACGATGGTCATCATGGTGGGGTGAGGACAGCTTCAAAGGTGCTTAGGTGTGGTTTTTATTGGTCTACTCTATATAAGGATGCTAGCGAGCTGGTTAAAAGATGTGATGAGTGTCAAAGAACTGGTGGGATCTCAAAGAAGGATGAAATGTCTCTTACCACTATTCTTGAGGGTGACATTTTTATGTCTGGGGTATAGACTTCATGGGGCCTTTTGTGAGTTCATATGGCAATACTTATATTCTGGTGGCCGTTGATTATGTTTCCAAGTGGGTCGAGCCGTGGCTTTGCCCAACAATGAGGCCCGGAGTGTGGTGGCATTTCTCAAGAAGAATATCTTTACTCGGTTTGGCACTCCTAGAGCAATCATCAGTGATAGAGGTTCTCATTTTTGCAATAAGGCATTTGACACTTTGCTTGAAAAGTGTGGTGTCAATCACAAGGTTTCAACCCCTTACCATCCTCAGGATAGTGTGCAAGCTGAGGTCTCCAACAGGGAGATTAAGAGCATATTGTCAAAGACTGTCAATGCAAATAGGACTGACTGGTCAAAGAAACTAGATGATGCTTTGTGGGCTTAAAGGAATGCTTACAAAACTTCGATTGGTATGTCTTCGTACTGGTTGGTGTTTTGAAAAGCTTTCCATATACCGGTTGAGTTAGAGCACAAGGCCATGCGGGCTTTGAAAAAGTTAAATATTGAATGAGATGTTGCAACAAATCTCCGGGTAGAGCAACTCAATGAGCTTGATGAGTTCCGCTTTCATGCCCATTCCAGCTCGTCCTTGTATAAGGACAAGATGAAGTACTTACATGACAAGTATGCCCATAGTAAGGAATTCAAGGAAGGTTACTTGGTTCTCTTATTCAACTCCCGGTTACGACTGTTTCCAGGAAAGCTCAAGTCAAAATGGAGTGGACCTTTTGAGGTGGTGCTTGTAACTCCATTTGGTACTCTTGATTTAAAAACAAAAATGGTGAAATCTTCAGAGTTAATGGGCACAAAGTAAAGCACTATCTTGGCAAGTTTGGTGACAGCCACGTGGTGGCAATGATCCATCTCAAATGATTGATGGTAACCTACGTCGTGCTGCGACATTAAATCAGGCGCTTCTTGGGAGGCAACCCATGCGTTTTTCTTCTTTTTGATTTTCTTCTTAGTATAGGCTTTGTTTGAACTAAGTGGTTGTGAGATGTGTGTAGGAATGTTTGATGCAGTACAGGACTAAGATAGAAAATTTTTGCAATAGTATGAAGTTGGACCATTGACAGCGCTCAATTTTTCACGGTCAGCGGTGGAAATATCTCGGAGGCGTAATTTGATGGCAGACACGGGATTGAAAAATCCAAAATGAGACTTCTTTGAAGTTTCATCTGCATCCGCGATGCATTTTTTCACAGTCAGTAGGGCATTTCCGTGGTTGCGTGCCATTTTTCGCTCTCAGTGGAGGTTTTAAACATGCAGCCTTTCTGTCCATCGACAGCGCGGACCGCGGTGATTTTATGCAGCCGTGCCAGGTGAGTGTTATGGGTCCCAGGGTGTTTTCTATAAATAGGAGATCATGAGGCCTTTTGCCCTTTTCGATCTTTTCTCTCTCAAAGCAAAAATATTTCACTGCTCATCTGAGCCCTAATCTGCATGAACTCAAAATTAAAGTCCACTTTCTTCACTCATTCCACAACTGGTAATTTCACTCCTTCATTACTTTATAATTTCCACTTGTTTTTCTTTTAATTGTTAGTTTTTACTTTTTCTCTTCTTTTTTTCTTTTAATTATAACTTAGGGCTCATTAGTGTAATTAAATTAGGCTTAGATAGTTAGGATTGATTAATCAATGTCTAGTGGGGTGAGCAATGTAGATGTTATCCACTAAATGCATGATAAATAGAAACACTAGGATTACTCAAGACGTTTTTGAATTCCGCAGTTGCGGATGTTTTTCCATGGTCAGCGTTCATAAAATAAATCTGAGTTTGGAAGTCTTGTTGACTGTGGTCAGCGATGGCAAATTCCACTGACAGTGGCCCAACCTCCATGGCCGCGCTGCATTTCTCGCGGTCAGCGGTACTCAGCTTCAGAAAAGCAAATAATATGGGTATGTGCCCGCACCCAATTTTCCGCAGACAGCGATGCAATTTCTGCGGCCGCGCCCAATTTTCTGCGCTCAGCGAGACCATAGAATTAGAGGGCGGGTATTCTGATCCCCATACCTCCGTGGTTGCGAGGCCTTTTTCCGTTGTCAGCAGTATGCATTTCGCTGCTGCATTTCTTTATCCGCTGTCAGCGATCTGCAACTTTTTCAAGTACTACCAATTGTTCTTTGTTGTTCTTCACTACTTCTTTTAGCACCTGTACAATGTACTAACAATATTCCACTTATTTTGTATGCAGACAATGGTCAAATCGAGAGGCGGTGGTGACAAAGGCAAAGGGAGGGCAGAACCTTCCCGGGGTAAGGGGAAAGGAAGAAAATTATCCCTTGCCATTCAACAATCTATCAGAGACCTCAGAATAAAAATGAAAGATGTGGATAGAGCCGCATCACATTCAGAGGGTAGTGAGTATATCCTTTCCAAGGAAGCTTCGGAAAGAGATTCGGTCCCAACTCACGTCCCATCCAATTTTCAAAGTGAGTTCCGATTGTAGGACATCCCTATACCCTCAGCTTCACCTACTTCTCCTGCTCTTTTGAGTCGTTTGATGGCTTAGAGGAGAGTAATGAGTCTTCAGCCTCTCTTACAGCTTCCCCAGATAGACCAGAGCCCATTGATGTTGATGAGACACCGGATGAAGAGAGATGGGGTGCTCCCTAGACTGGAGAGATAGAGAGAATGAGGAACCTAGAGATGTGGCAGCAGAGATTTGTTAGTGAGCAGGCATATCACAAATTCAGGGAGTGGTGGCCTCAAAGGTCACTCATATATGAGCATCATTTTATAGAGCGGGATCTTCTGCCCCACAACCCCAATGTGAAGCAGCACTTTGATGAAAGAGTGGGGTGGAAATACTTCACAAGCAGGGTGTCGGATGCTAATGAGCACCTGGTCAATGAATTTTATGCCAATGTCGCCCACATCAAAAAGGGCACATTTGTGACCAAGGTGCGGAACTTGAAGATCAAGTTTGATGGTACGACTCTGAACGACTACCTCGGTTTCAATGATGAAGATGAGTCATTATACTTAGAGAAGGTAGTTTTAGATGAGGCGGCCCGCCCGTGGTTGGCATCAATACTGGCTCTCCCGAATACTACTCCAGCTTGGTTGGCATCGGGGGTTCCTATCTACATGAAAACCCTGAACTTCGAGGCAAAGGGTTGGGAGACTTTTGTGTGTTGCAAATTAGACCCCACTACTCACGATCGTGACATGCCGGTTTCCCAGATGATTATAGTGGCGGCTATCATGGCAGGGTTCCCGATCAATGTCAAGAATATCATGTCTAGGGTGATTACCAGAGTGGCCAACGAGGGTGATAGATCCTACCTCTTTTCGAACTTCCTCACCATGTACTTGGAGGATCAGGAGGTCGAGAAAAGGGATTTCGATATCAAGGTGAAACCCAAGAAGGCCTTCTCATAGTACAGCCTTCAGGGTCCAGGTAACCCCAAATCCAAAGGCAAAGCGACTACTTCTATTGGCCAGTCTGAAGAGCCAGCAGTGGTTGTCACTACTTCTAAGCCTCCCACTGCCATACCAGATCCTGCCCCCAGACCATATATTTCCATGTCTTCCTCAGTTCCCTCCTCAGTAACATACCCTTTGACTGCACATAGGCTGAACCAGACTCTCTCCAGCATCAACAACTGGATGCAGGCAGCAACTTCTAAGCTGTCTGTACTATCTAGTTCAGTGGTAGCCCAGTCAGTTCCTACACAGCCCCAGGTGCCAGCTTCAGTGGAGGATTCTCTCAAGGAGCTTCTGGACAACCAAAAGCTCATCATGGATGCTCTGGCAGATCAAGGTAAAGCAATCAAGGAGCTGAGCAAGCAGACGAAGAAGCTGAAAAAGACTCGGGCCTCAAAGAAGTTCGTGAAGCTGTTGAGAGGAGAGGTGGAAAAGATGAAGTCAGCTGGAGACCTACCATTGGAGCTATTATTACAGGACCAACAGCCAGTAGCTCAGGCAGAGCGTATACAGGAGCAGGAGGTTAAGGGAGAGCCTAGGAGGAGAGGGGTGCTTCCCCGGACTGATGATCTGGAGATACAACTGGAGGACCCCGAGGGGAGTGACCTAGGGACCCAGACACAGGACCCTACTGATGCTCCGGCCCCCATGCAGACAAAGGACCCATAGGAATTTTCTCTTTACTCTCTAACCCTTTCTTGATCTTATTTTTGCTATTAGCATTGAGGACAATGCTAGTTCTTATTTGGGGGGGGGTCCTATTTTGATTTGTGATACTGGAATGTAAATACGACACTTATTTTTCATTTATTGTTATTTTTCACTTTTGGTATGTATATAACTTTACCATTTATTTTTTACTTTTCGTTATTTTTCAATCTTGGTTTATATATAAAGTTACTCTCTCATGTATATATTCATTTCCCGTTATGTATATTTGTCTAAATCCCCTATTGTACATATTCAGTTTACTTTCCGTATTTTACTTTATAACTTCTTTTGCAATTTTCCTTAATAGTATAGCTTCTTATTTCATTTAATAGTTTCTTTTTCAGTTCGTAGCTTCTTATTTTTACAAGTTTTCGTAATCAATAAGTCTTTGGTTTTCTTAATATCACGGTTTTTTCAAAGGTGGAGTGTGTGTGAACCGGGTGGCTTTTCCCGATGATAGATGGCATGACAACCTTCTTAAAGGTTTGAGTCTGCTTTCGTTTTTGTGTAAATAGTAGCTAATGAACAATAGTGCCTCAGGGAAAGCTTCACTTGGGCCTAACACATTTACCTTTGACCTTATGGTTAAAAATAAATTGGTGTGTATAGGATGGTAATAGTTATGACCTTGAGACTCTTGTGTTGACTAAACAATCATCAAGTGATTTCTTGGAATCATTTGTGTTGCTCAAATCTTAGATAAGGTTATTGTGGGCCCTCGACTCTATCTCTTTAGCAATCCTATAGCTTGTGTGGTGAGGTTTTAATTTGCAAGTCCAAGTCCCGTGCCAATAAGTCTAGAACTTGCACTGAATATTTGTCTAGGCAAAATCCTAAATGTAGCTCGACTGAAGAAGTGATTATAGGATATCCTTGATCCAAATTGAGGCTTGAAAACATCCATAGCCCACCAAAAATAATATCTCTAGTCAACCTCGTTGAGTCATAGCCCTTATTCTTTCAAAAACCATGATATGAGCCTTTATCCGTTCTAAAATGATCCTCTCTTGGCACCCGATCTTTCCTTAGCACAAGGCAAAAGCATAAGTTTGGGGGAAGAGACGAGGAATGCAAAAGCGATAAAAGGTACAAAATGAAAAAAATGAAAGGCAAAAAGAAAAAGAAAGAAAAGCCAAAAAGTCAAAAAGAAAGTGAACAATGTGGAAGAAATGAATGGATTCAATAAAAGCAAAGATGAAAGGCCTGGAAATATTAGAAAAGAGAAAAAGAATTGAAATGAACAAGAAAGAGTGACAGTGTTTCTCTCTAGCCCCTAAGGAAGAAGTAAATGACTCAAAGAGTCAAGAAAATGTGAGCCAAAATGAAAAAAATAAAGTGCTTAAGGAAAGATGAAACCTTCATAGACCAATATTTCCTACCCTGAACCAAAAGCCTTCAGTACATTCCCCCAAAAGCCCTATATCTTGAGTTGAGTTAGCTTGCATTAGTGGTGACTCACATAAGGGGCAAGTTTATGATACTTAGAGTCGGACTTGTGACCTTCCTTTGAGAGAGATGAGTGTGTTTTCCAAACTTCTCGTTCTGAGTGCGACAATCTAAAAGTGAGGTTTGCATATGGAGGATCGAGGAGTATGAGTTTGGGTTCCACAATGACCAATGTAATATAAAGAGTTTCCTTGATGAGTTGAGTCAAAACTTGATGCTTTGGTGTCGCACTAAAGCTATGGTGCTAAAAAGTTGTGTATTGTTAATAATGCATTTGAGTTGAGGGTAATTGTTAGTCCCAATTGATTCTTGATGAGGTTACTTTAGGACAGCTGAAATTTTCCTTTATTTTATCTTGAGGAAGTGGGAATTACTTTGTTTTCTTGAGGGCAAGAAAAAGCTTAAGTTTGGGGGAGTTGATAACTAGGGATTCTAGCTTATTTTATGCTCCTTTTTGCTTAAGTTTTGGATTAAAAGTATATACAAGTATTCCCGAAAGCTAACTTACTGCACTTGTTTGCAGTGTTTGGTCAAAAAGAGACAAGAAAGTCATAATTAGCTCAAAAAGGAGTGAAACCTGCACAAGTTCAAAGTTGAAATCAAAAGGCGCTGACAGCGAGAAATAGTAGCGGACGCGGAGGGTCTAA